GCTGATGTTCACGGCTCCCCGGTAGACGCGGCCGAAGGCTCCGGGAGCGGGGCCGCCCCCCGGGGCCGCTGCCGTTACCGCCCAGAGCAAAGCGCAGAGCAGCGCACCGGGGGCTGCGGCCGCCCCCCCGGCCATGGCCCCGCGTGTGCCGCCACCCGGAGCGGGCTCCCGGTCCGCCTCTCCCCGGCGGTGCGGGCGTCCGGGTACTTTATTTGCGGTGAGAATCACTAGCGCGGCCACACGCACCGGCGAGGGGGAGGCGGGAGGCAGCGAGGCCCGGACGCGCCCCCGCCCCCCCACCGCCCGGGGGTGCCGAGCAACTTGCCCCGGGGAAGGACCCTCCGCCAACCGGCTGCCGGGAGGAGAGAAGGGAGGAGAAAGGGAGGGAAGGGAGGCAGGCGGCTGGCCCCTGGAGGAGGGTCTCCGTGTGCCCGGCCCCAAATTCTGAGCCGGCCCTCGCCGTCAGTTGTCAGGGAGCTTTTCACCTTTGGGACGTGTGCTGTGAGTTTAGGGCCGCAAGGGTACGAGGGAACAGTGCCACGGCAGTGGAGCTGCGGGGCTTCAACACCCCCAGCCCACTGTGTTCTCACCTTGTCCTGTGCCAGCTTGCTGGAGTGATGATGGGAGCTTGGAATATGTTTTGCACAGAGCCATCCTAGACTTCTCAGCTGGTAACATCTCTAAAGGTGTGAAAGGCTGCAGAAAGATGTCATTCCGTTAGTTCAAGAATGCCTCGTTCCATTCTATGTTATTTAAGGGGTTCGTGAAACTGCTACAAAAATCACCGTGATAATCAACCTTTTCAGCCAGATGAGAGTGATACTGTTAGGCCAGGGGTCTCTCTCCCCCTGCTTTCCCCTCTTATGTTCTGTTGAAAACGTCTCTGAAAAATGTGTCAGACCCCAAAGCGGAGGGATGGACTTTTAAGTCAAAGAGCATTACCAGAAAGCAACCTGAAAGCTTCTTCAGGCTGAAGGCAAATTCATAGAAGATGTGATTTTATAAAGCCAGCCTGCATTCTCTAGTTATGTTGTCTTTGGCCACAGAGGCTGTCCGAGCAATGGGGTTTCTTGACAAGAGTGAGTGATTTCCTGAGGGTCGCTCTTCAGAGGAAGAGGAGAATTTGTAAAGCTCAGCAGAACGGCTCAGCTTACATTATGCTGTTATTTTGATCTTTGGGCATTCATGCAGTTTCTGCCAAGAGCAAACAAATAGAAAAATTGTCAGTGATTTATTTGGTCTTGAAGTGGGCTGCCATTAAGCCACCCTGCCTTCTGTCAGAGTTCTAAGAAACAGTGGCATGAAGGCAAGTCCCCCACACAAGAGATGTACAGAAAGATGGCCATTCTAATTCTAAGATATCATTCTAATTCTACCAAGAGTGCCTTTTGGCCTGCAATGTTGTGCTGTGCCAACCAGAACCTGTGCAGTGCCACAGACAAAAGCCTCAGAGAGCAGAAAGAGTTAAGGCAAAGCAAAAGCATGCCTCTGCCATGCCAGGATGCTCCGAGCAATGTGACAGGTGGTATGAGGCCAGTATTCTGAATACCAAGAGAGCATTGGCACCTACTGATAGTTTTGGGGTCATTTAGTGTTGTGTATATTTCAGATCAGTAGATCAGTAGGGAATCAGTGTACTGTCTTCTATGTTGCACTGACCATATGATAAGTAAGTGGTCTCCATAAAGTCGACACTTCCAGTGCAGAATTACAGATTTCTTCAATTACTTCCCATGAATGGATGTATCTTTTGATATCCTACTGGGGACTACACATTTCTTCTTCTCCCTGGGGCTGCCCAGGGAAATGGTGGACTCACCATCCCTGAAGGTGTTGAAGAAATATGTAGATGAGGCACTAAGCGACATGATTTATGGGGCATGGTGGGGATGGGTCTTTTCCAACCTTAATGATACTATGATTCTAAGTTTAAAGACAGGTCAATTCCATCATCCAACTCACTAATTAAAATAATCAATCTTAGCAGACAGATCAGATCTTTTAATTTGTTATATCTTCCTATTGTCTGGAAAATACCTGCAGTTACATTTTGGGAGTTGCTGTTTAATCACGCACTCCTTTCGTGTTAATTCCAATTGGAACCTTACTTGCTTTTGTGAAGATGGTGTTCAGTGCAATGACAAAAGCCTTACTAAAGTCCAAACGTTTCATCTGTTTCTTTCAGCACTTCCTAAGTCAGTTATCTCTGCAAAGCAATAAATTAGGTTACTCTGACATGATTTGTTCTGGACAAATGCGCACTGCCTGTTTCTCATCACTTTATTGTTATTTGGTTGCTCGCCTGCTGATTACTGAACAGGTTGTTTCATTATCTTTCCAGATAACATGGAGCCTGGCTGATTTATATCTCTTCCCTCAGCCCTGTTGCTAAAGTAGCCTATTTGCCCTTTTCATGTCCACCTAGATCTTGCTCTTGAATGACAGCATGTGTTTTGGAAGAAATAATGTGTACATATAGAGACAAGAGGCTGATCCAGACAGATCATGGCGTAGGATTGGTGGGAGAGTTCTTACATGTGCCACAGCACACTAGCATCAGAGGACAGGGTGGCCTGAAGATGACAGCTGGGCTCAATATAATGAGTCCAGATTGCCTGGCAAACCGTGGCAACGAGGCAGGTCTTTGGTCAGGCCAGGAACTCCATCACGGGTGTCACACAGCTGTAGCTGGAGGACAGGCAGTGCCCAGCACCAGAGCATGGTGTAAGTACAGCACCCATGGGAAGGCAGAGGCCAGCCTCCAGGGTCACTAGAGCAAAGCAGGGTAGCCCTAGGCTGCACTGTCTGCTTTGGCACCAAGCCTGGGGTGTCAGACCTCCAGGAGAGGGCATGCTCTCAGGGTCATTTCCTATGGAGGTGTGCTGGGCCACATATCTCCTCACATGACCCTTTCTCCCAACTTAGCAAAGACCAAAGAAGGAGGTATTACACTGAAGCAGAGGCTCACAAGAGAGTCATTGCTGGTTGGTGTGCTTTTTGTTTCTTTGTTTGTTTTGCTGTAGGAAAACAGCAAAAGTAGAAAGTCACAATGCTTTGGGAGAAAAAAACAAAACAAAACTGCAAGGAAGCAGTATTTCTCCTAGTAACCAGTGCTGCCAAACAGCCAGGATAGGGGAAAGATCTCAATTCCAAAAGAATTTTCCCAAACTATACCATTTTGGAAAGAGAAAGATTTTAAATATATAACCAACCAAACTGGTTGGAAACTTGAGGGCCTTAAATCACTCCTTTCTGTGTATGTAGTCTCTGTTTCTTAAGCTCCATTAAGAGCAAATAGATGCTGTAGGTATTCAGCTGGCTTCTGCAGAGATAATGGATCATTTTCAGATACTGTTGTAAATGCAGTGTGAAGAAAAACAAGGAAGGGTAGACGGGCTTCTAGGACATCTGATAGAATGTCATAGAATATCGCAAGTTGGATGGGATGTACAAAGATCTTTGAATCCAAAGCACACTAGGAGCACAGAGACCTGCTCTCCATTCTTATATAGGTGGCTGAATGAGGAGTGTCTCTGCAAGCTTATGTGAGGTATTTAGCAATTACACTTACAAGTAATTAATAATAGCAGAGAGACTTACGAGCTTTCAGAGTACACGCTACATTGATCTAATTGTGCTGTGATCTCTTTCTCTCTTTTCAATACTCCTTGTTCTTTTTAAGCCACACTAGGACAGAATTCCAGATGTGTCTTTAATTTACATTTTTGTGTTACAGATTTTCAAATAAACAGAGTAACCAACCCAATACATTGCCTTACACGTATGCCTAGGATTAGAGGTTTCTTTTACTACAGACTGAAGTCTGATATTCAGCCTCAGGTTGCATGTGGAAATTGAATTTCAGGTGCAACCTCCTGCATAAAGAACACCCCGGGCACATTTGCAGCACTTCAGCAAAGGCAATCGCTGCTAGCATTTTGCTATCACCCTTTTTCTCCCTTTGTAATTTCCCTCTTCTTCTTGTGTTGCATGTCAAGCAATTCCTTTCCTCAGCTCGTTCAACATTGCCATCTGCATCTTCACAGCAGGATTGATGAAGCTGGAATTAGATCCATGAGGATTCAGCACCATCAGATCTTGGTGAAAGGAAATTTCTTTTTAATTAAGGAAGGATTTTTGACTGAAAAGCTGATAAACCCTACATCTTCTCTTTCCACACGCAACAGACACAGTATTAAGCTCACACTGTAACACAGAATGTTAACTCCAAGCCTTCAAAATAATTTATGTCTCTACCTATGTGACCCAGTGAAGCAGATCACAGAATCACAAAATGCCTTAGGTTGGAAGGGACCTTAAAGATCCTCTTGTTCCAACCCTGTGCCGTGGCATATTTGTGGGGCAAGTCTAAAGGAAATGCTCTGCACTCGGTCATAAGGTAAATAAATGAGTGTTAACAGCCGGTTACTTTGTGGGAGTTGGACATTCCTTGGGTAGGGAGGTGCACGCTTCCTTGGTGGCACCGCTAGTGAGTTCTGTTTGTTAAAACACAACCCGCTGCCACTCCTTAACGTTACGTTTCCTTCATTTAAGAGCTTGTGTGAAGTTCTGCTCTTAATTGCCTCTTAATTATCTTAATTAAGATTTGAAATACATCTGGAAACTTCCAAATCTCTCTGACAGGGGCACCACAAGTTGTCCTGGGGTGGTGTTTGCAGTGAAGAAAGATGATAATTGGCATAAATGAGCAGGATTGGCGTGAGAGAGGGAAGAAGTGGCCCAGCCACTCGCTCAGGGGCGTCTCCTCGTGCTACGAGGCGCCCGTCAGGGGCTTTCCTCATGGAAAACCCAGAGCATAGGGAGGCGGCGGCATGAGGCGCGGGTGAGCCAGGACGCGAAGAAGCGCGATCGGGGGTAACGAAGATGACTTTTCGGCGGAGGTCGCCGAGCGTCAAGGCGAAACCCTAAGGGGAGCCGGCGGTGGCGCAAGGCGGAGCTAGCCGCCGCCACGTTCCACCCCTCGGGGCGCGGCGAATGGCTCCGTCCCTGTGGCAACGGAGAGAGGGTGCGCGCGCGGCCCGCTCGAGCCGCCGGCGGGGCGGCCATGTCGCTGCTGAGCGGGCCCCGACCGCGGCTCCGCGGCGCTGCCAGGAAGGGACCGAGGAAAGCGACGGCGGCCAAGCGGGATTGGGACGTAAGTGCTGTCTGCGACGGGAGCGGCCTGCTCGGCGCCGGGCAGGGCGGGCTCCGTACGGGGCTAGGGGAGCCTTGTGTGGCTGCTCGTGGGCGCCGAGCCGCCCGATCCGGCCGTGAGCGGTTGGGGAAAACCTGGGGGGGGCTCTGGGCGGGAGCGAGCCAGCCACCATCAGTGCTTGCACAGCCAACTCCCCTCCTCGTTCCCCTTCCCTGTGGAGGCTTAGTTGTGTGGGGTGGTTTTCCAGTCCAACCTTTTTCACCGGCCTGGAGTGAGCAGGGCGAATTGGGAGTTCCTGAAAGTTTAGATATTGATGTGTACGGTTGTGTTATTTTTATCCTTTTTCTCCTCTTTAATTGCTTTTGTTGTCTTCTCTTGTTCCTTTGTGCAGAGTACTGTCCATGATTTGACGGTTCACCGTGCAACTCCTGAGGACATCGTAAGTGTAATGTCTGAGCTGGTTCTGCAAGTGGTTGTTTTGATGGCCTCCAGGCAGCTACATTAGCAAGCACTTTCGTATTTATGTTTAAACTATACATATATCAGTGTTAGAAGAAGAGTGAGAACTTCACTGATGATTGACACGAGCATTAAATCGGGAAAATGCAACGGCTTTCTACATGGGAATGTTTGTGCGTTTGTTCTCTGTTGAGAAAACTCTTGATTTAGTGGTGGTGGGCAGATGGAAGCTGTGAGGCTTCCTCCATTCACCTTTGAAACTACTTTAAACATGGCTAGTGTTGGTGGCATTTGACACTTGAGGATGTTTATGAGTTTTTTGTTTGTACTACCATGAAATAAAACAACCACCATGTTGTAAAATCAAGATAGAAGAGTTGTCATCATGGTCTTACTAGTTTTTCTTTTACATTGTACTTTCATTTTAAACTAGTTTCTTTCATGTTTACATAGCTGCGTCGCCATGAAATACACAAATCAAAAAACAAAGCACTGGCACATCTGGAACTGCAAGAGAAGGCACTGAGAAGAAAATGGAAGAAGCAAAAACAGTTGGCCCCTGATTCGCTGGAGAAAAGGAAATTGGCCCTGATGCATGAGGTAAGAGCAAAATCTGTGCTTTCAGCCTGCTGCAAATGATTTGCAGTAGTAGTAGAAAGCTGCTTTTGCACATCAGTGAAAATCAGTTCCTCTTTTTGTATAGTTGGCCTTCATGTGTGCATACTTTCTTTCTCCTCTACATGCGGTAGCTTGACATAGACTGTGTAACATCTTACCTGTACAGTTAGAGTATCTGTATGGACTGTCTACACCCTCTGTAACCTGCAGGTCTCTTTGCATTTGCACAGGAACTGTTTGCAGAGTTAAACTCTGTGCTGTGAAAAGGATGCGCATTCTTTGTGTCCTCAGTTCTATCTTGCCTCCTTTTCTCCCTACCTAGTATTTTTCTTTGTTTGATGAACACATGAACGTTTATAGTTTTGAGAAGGACATCCTTGTCCGCCATTCCTTATTGACACAGGGGAAATGCAGGGGACCAAAAGGTGAAAGGCAAGAAGTGGAGAAGGAAGAGCTTGTCTGGAAGGAAAGATGATGAAACAAAGGTTGAGTTGGCTGGCAGACAGATCTGTCAACTAAGAGTATAAATGTTTGTTTACTAGACAGTCTGAATTATTCTCACTGAAAATACTGTTTAAATTGCTTTTGAACTTTCTACAATAGCAGCAAAACTAAGTTTAGCTTGCAGAGAAGGAGGCCTTCAGTGGCTGACAATAGATTTCTCTGTTAAATACCATCTTCTTGTTTCACACAGCAGGATACTACTTGCCAAATGTCATGAAAACTAATCTCAAAATATAGTAGCTTTGAAACTTCATCAGCACTTGGACAAACCCAAAGGTGATCTTGTTCATTATCGTTCAGTGTCAACAGTGTTCTGGCAGATAAAGCAATGATGTACTGATTCAGCAGTCCTGTGTATGCACAGTAGGTTAACTGTCAAAGACTTCTATTTCTCATCTTGTTTTTGTAAATTTTCAGAAATCTTGCTGTGAACTTTGAGAACACTGACACATAGACAAAAACGAATGAAAGTATTAGGTTTTAAAAATCACCTACTAGATTTGTATTTAATACCTTTTTTGTCTCCAACTACAACAAAATTTATGTTAGGGGTATTTGTAACCAAGAATCACTTTGATTTAAACATTTGTTATTTTCATGCTTTTATACCAAGTCCATTTTAGGGCAGTGTTCTAGGAAAAAACCCATAGGCTTTTAGACATAATTCCCTGGTGCAGGCTAGATCCAAGAAAAATTTCTTCAAGAGATGCATATACCAAATACAGGTAGGACCACAAGCTCTTAAGTGTGTTTGGACTACTTAATATACGACTTGCTTGTTTCACACATTTGGAATAGTTTTCTGTATTTCTTGCCATTTGTAATGATACTGCACTAATTTTAATTCCTCCTGAGCAGATTTCTCCCCTGTATTTAAAAGAGTACTTACTTTTAATCAACGTATTCTGTGTCTACTTCTGAATCTGAGAAAAAACTGTTCTAAATAGGAAGACGTAAGATGATTCCAGGCAAAATGAAACACATGCTGCTGTTGCTTCTTGATGTACTGGCATCTTCTTGAATGTGAATTATGAATATGGAGAAGAGTCACTATTTTCCTGTATCCCCAAGTTAAATTCTGTTAGTCACTGGTCCTGTTGTTCAGAGTAATTGAAGAACTTCTTCAGTCTGCATTTTCCAGTACAGCATAAGCACTGTGGGTTATCTCCTTGCTTCTGTTATTCAGTGATTTTTGTTTACTGTTGCAAGATCTCAAGCCCCTTGAGTCTTAATCAACTGGAGGCAAAATTTAGGAAGATGGTGCCTGTAGCATATCTTTTCTTGTATCTATATGTTGAAGAGAGAGAGTAAAAATTACCAAATGGATGAGCTTAACTTTCGGCTTTTGAGGGAGGGGCTTGCTAAAATTCTGAAGGAAAAATTATATGACTTTCATTTCAATTACTGAATTGTGAGTGGTCCTACAGCCTGTTTCTAAAATAATGTCAGTGCATTACACTGAAGGGTACATAGTGAATGTATTAGTGTAGTTGAAAAGGTTAAGATTAGTCCTGTTTAATTATCTTCAGTAACATTCTGAATTTTAATGAAATTTGTGAGTGCTATTAAACTGGGAGAAGGTACAGCACCCAGTGAGTGTGTTGAGGGAGTGTAAATGGGCCTGGATCTGTTGATCGCAAACAAATGTAAGCTAATTTACCTTAGGAACCATGGTCTAAAATGTTCTTAAATGTTGAGCAGAAGAGCAAAGCTTTGGAACCTAATAACGCTGAGCTAGTAGGGAGCACGAAAACAAATTAGTCAAGATCAGTTTTGTTGGAGTAAGTTTGTCACTTTAGTTTTCATTGCTTTGGGCAAAGGAGTCATGTTTTGGAATAGGTAAGCATTCTTACTTTTTTTCCTGTTTGGCCTTGCGTGACATCTAAAAACGTGCTTGATTTTAACATTAGATGGCTAAATGCAAAGTTAGTATTGAGGGTAAAAAGTAAATGATGATTTGGGGATTTAAATATATGATTACAAGAGGTGAATGTTCATTGGTTTGCTAAATTGATGATGAGGAAAAGTGATACGTTGCAGTGTAATTCAGTCTCAAAAGACTAGACAAATGTGTAAATGAGCCTTGCAGACATCCAGGTCAGTGCAGAAGGAGGGCAGGAGATGCAACGCATGTGGAGCAGAAGTTACATGCAGCCTGACGAGGGGCCTGTGGTGGAGCAGGCTGTTCCCCCTGCTGCCCATTGGGTGCTACATCAGGCGGATCTCCATGTGCAGCTGATGGAGGAGCCCATGGTACAGCAAGTGGATGTGGCCTGAGGGAGGCTGAGGCCATAGTGAGCCCCTGCAGGAGCAGGCACCAGGCCAGAGCTGCTGCCCATAAAGAGGTGCCCGCAGTGGAGCAGGAGGTCTGGGCTTGCTGCCACCTGTAGAGACATATATGGAGCAGTTCCTGAAGGGATGACCCCGTGGTATGGAGCTGTGCTGGAGCAGTGCCTGAAGAGCTACAGCTTGAGGGAAGCCCACGCAGGATCAGTTTGGGAATAATGGCGTCCTCTGGAAAGAACCTTGAGTGGAATAGGAGAACGCTGGCATATGAAGATGAAAGAGCAGCATATATGAGTGATGTTATGGACTGACAGCCCACACTCACCATCTGCTTTGGCTGCTCAGGGAGAAGAAATTGAAGAAGGTGGATGAGGGGAAGGTGTTTTTTCTTTGCTTTTAGTTCTTATGCTCTCCATTTCTAGCTTAATGAATGAAACTACTAGTTGGTGAGTTTAGAATTGTGTTCTGCCCACAGGAGACATTTTTCCATCAACTTCTGTTCAGTTAGCAGTAGCTGAATGTCCTTTTAAACTCAAAAAACTTCCCTCCCTAGGAGGCAGCTTTCATGGTTGCAGTAATGGACTTCAGATAGTGGGAGAGGGAGATACCTTGAATATAGAAGCTGTATCTTTGAGAAATGTGTGGACATGGCCAAAGCATTTTGTATTGCCAGATGCAGCCACCTGTATTTATGTCTGCTGAAGTTTGTATGAAGGTATGAGGCTTAATTTGAGGCAGGATTTCCAGTAATCAAGACTGAATGAAACAGTCTGAAATCATTTGGATCTAATCAACTAGTTCAGTTCTTGGTTGTCTGTCAGATGAGTCAGTGTTGACACTTCTGGAGAAATAACAGTTTAACTTTTCAGAAAAATGAGGTGAATTCTAGTCATTTGGAACAGATTACAGTCTTCTTATCTCTCTTAATTAGGACCAAGCCACACTTTGTAAACACTACCACCTTAGCTGTTCTTTTGCTAGCTGTTTTGAAGAACAGTACTCAAAAACAAAGGAAAAATCATTCTGCACAGTATGAAATATTTCCTTGTATGCTATACTTTCAGATTCTCTCTGATCAATATGATTTGCAAGATGTACTGAAACGGTCTGATCAGGTTATGGCTGTGGTAAAAGACTTGTTTGGGAATGCCCCTCGCATGCGAACAGGTAAACTGTCTCATTTATGTGTCAGTGCGTTCAAGACTAACTTCTTGCTTCTCATAATCTTGAGTTACAAAGTATTCTTTGTAACTGTTTTTGCCTGATGTGATATGACTGGTCGTGTTTATGTTGGATGAAACACAAATAAGGATAATATCTAATGTGGCAGGAGAGTGAACTGTGGCTGGTTGTTCCACTGTACCACTCCATAGTGGAATTTCTGATCACTTATTCTAAAATACCTGATGCTGATTTCTGCAACCAAGTTACCAACCAATACAGAGCACCAGTTCTTGACACAGTAGTAGTTCTGATTCTTGTTGCTATCCTGTTTGCCTCATTGTTTTTAGGTATTGTTGAAGATATATCAGCAACGTGTGAATAAATCTTTTCCATTTCTTATCTTGGTTTATGAATCCTTACACTTCTGAAAAGGATTGGCCATTTGCATGTGAGATGTTAAGCTTATCTTTTGTCTTCAGGCTGCATTTCTCTTTTGCATTTAATGACTATTCCAAATGACATGCTTTTTCTGCACTAGTTTATTTACACAGCTGAGAAGTACAGGAGCCTGATGGTGGTGGGGGAGCCTAGGTGATTGAATGTATTGAGATAATTCTGGTCTTTGTCAGTTATTCTGAACAACACCCATCATTGTGACCACTTCTGTGCAAAATGCAGGAATTTACATTTTGGTGCTTAGTCCTATCATGCACTGACTCAGCCCTTTCTGTTCTTCCCTGTTTTGTCTGATTCCTCTAGGTTTCCCTAACGTAACAATGGCTCCTAACTGTGACTTGGAATCATCTCAGGGACCCATCGTACAAAAATGGGAACCTCCCACTCAGCTTTCCATCCTTAATGAATCTGTCATGGATTCCCAGGTAATTAATTTCTATGTATGGTTCCATGTTTCTTGTTTGCACAAAATAGGGATATTCAAAGGTAAGTGTTTCCAAAGCAGACCTAAACATTTCTTCTGTGTACTGTATACAGTGCTAATAACAAGCAGAGAAAACTGCATTAAATTGACATGAATTTGTTTTGAGAGTCTGGGAATCATTAACTTTTTTATTTCTTAACCTTTGAGTAGAAGAAACTTTTTAAGTCTCACAATAGCAAGCTCTCCCTTTTAAATTCTGGAATTTCCAGTATGAGAGTGAAGTAATTGCAGGCTTAAAAAAAATCCAAAAGCCCAACTCTGGTGTCACTTAGACTTAATTGGTATCCATTCAAACATGCCTATGACTTTTTCTACTTTTGTGTCTACATATATGGATGTGTAGCCAACTGGGCTGCAAATTATATCTGATCACACACGTTTATGTATCCCACGTAATTCCAAAACCTTGATCAGTCCTATAGGTTTTATTTTTAATACCTCACGTTATTGTGCAATTATTTAGTTTGTGTAAAAGCTTAATGCTTGTTTAAACTTATTCAGAATTTTATTTTATTTAGCCTCAAGTGTTCTCATAGCATGACTTATAGCAGGAATATGCATACTTTGGTTTGAGAAGTGTAATGTGACACTACTGAAAAGTAGTTCAATCTGATGAATAACAAAAGAGCTGTGGAACTAAAAGTGCTGGTGTCATATTTTCATGTTTCCCTATTCCTGTATTTTATTATCTTGCACAAATGTCTGCATTCAGAATTGTAGTAGTGCTCGTGTAGTCAGATAATTTCAGTGTGTGGAGTTTTTGTTTTGTTTTGCTTTGCTTTTATAATGAAAAAATAACTGTAGCATCACTGAGTTGTATCACTGGATGCATGCAGTGGGACAGACATAGATTTTTAGAAGAAAATAGTACTGATAGATGTCTGCCTGAGTGTCTCTGAGATTTTCTTTTCCTTATATTCCTGTGAAAATCCCAGTTAAATGCTATCTGGTGAGGCGCACCCAGAAGGGCAGAAACCTGGTAGTTTGAGGAACACTAATTCCAAATTTGATTTGCTTTATGTGAATATGGTATGTGGGACTGTATTTGTTGTTTGTGTTTTACACGTAGAATGTAGACATATAAATATGCAGATCTCATGATAAGGTTGTTTAGTTTGTAATATCAAGTGACTGAAATTTTAGAAATACATAGCCTTTTATATATATAATTAAAAAAATTATATATAATAAAATATATATATATATAATTTTTTTTCCATCTTACTCCTACTATTGAGCAAAGACTTGCTGGACAAACTGAGGGATAAAAACAGAAAGTATAGGCAACGGAAGCAAGGATGGGTGACCTGTGAAGAATATGGGGTTGCTGTCCACTTGTGCAGAGATGAGATCAGGAAAGCCAAGGCGCAGATGTAATTAAACATTGTGAGATATGTAAAATAACAAGGGTTTCTTTAGATGCATTAGTCAGAAGAGACAGGCAAAGGAGACTGTGCCCTCTCTGGTAAATGAGAAGGAAGAACTGGCTTCAGTTGATGTGGAAGAGACTGAGGTGAGGTAAAGATGAGTTCTTTACTTCAGTCTTTGCTGCCAGTCAAACTTTCAATGCCTGTCATGTTCCTGAACCTCCAGAGGGGTTTAGGTGTGTCACGGAGTTGTCTAGATCAATCTATGCCCGTGACAGGGGGCAGCAGGCCCATGGGTCCCTCAGCCCAAAAATGGGAAGGGAAAAGGGAAGGTTAGGGAGATCGGAGCTGGGCCCAAAAACAGAACAGCAGCAATGATCTAAGGAGGAAACCTAATTTTACTAAACGTATCAGAATGCAAGATAACACAGTACAATACAATATGATTGGAATTGAGGCTAATAAATAAAATAAGAGAGAGAGTGTCAGAAACTGAAAGCCTTACTTTGAAGTGAAGGTGCACGGCTTGGGAGCACACCCACACACTGCCAGGCAGTGAACGAGAGTAGGAGATCCCATGACTTACCTTCCTCTCTGAATGTGAAGTCCTCTGAGATAAGTAGTACTTCTCTTTTGAGAACCAGGAATCTGAAAGGTTGTCAGTTCATGGAACTGGAGTATTAACTCTTTAATTCCCCATGCTTTACATGATGTTATGATGTGGAATACCAATAACAAAATTATAAAACCGTGACAAGGGGAGTGAAATCCCTCCTGTGTTAAGAACAGAGCAAGTCTGAGATCACGTCTTGAGGCTGAATGGATGACTGTGTCAGCAGCAAGGGAAGAGCTACTGTCTGGAGTTCAGTAAGGCCTTTGATATGGTCCCCCATAGCATCCTTCTTTCCGAATTGGGAAAGTATGGATTTGATGGGTGGACTGGTTGATAGACAAAGAAATAGTTGTAAGATCATACCCAGAGAGAAGTGGTCAACAACACAACGGAAATACAGGCCATTAAGCCTCATATGTGTGTATAGAAAGATATTGGAGCAGATCCTCCTCGAAGAGAGGAGGATGTGAGATCAGAAGGTAGTCTGAGCCAGACAGCATGACTTCACCAAGGGCAGATTGGCCTGATGAACCTTGTAACCTTCAGTGAAGGACTGACAGCATCAGTGGACAGAGGAAGAGCAAATGAGGTAATCCACCTGGACTTCTGCAAGGCCTTTGACATAGTCCCACACTACATCCTTATCTCCATTTTGGAGAGATACGGATTTGAAAGGCAGACTATCCAGTGGATAAGGAGTTGGCTGGCTGGTTGCAGCCAGAGGGTTGTAGTCAATGGCCCTACATCCAGGTGGAGAACGGTCATAAGTGCTGTGCCCCAGGAGTCCATCTTGGGACTGGTACTCTTCAACATCTTTATCAACGACACAGACAGTAGGATTGAATGCACCCTCAGCAAGCTTGTTGATGACACCAAGCGAAGTAGCGTAGTTGATGCTGCAGCCAGCAGAGATGCCGCCCTGTGAAACCTGCACAGGCTAGAGAAGTGGGCCGACATCAACCTAGCGAGGTTCCACAAGGCAAGAGCAATGTGTTGCACCTGGTTTGTTACAGTCCCAGGTTAGGTTTACGCACTGGGAGAACTCATTAAAAGCAGCCCTGTGGAGAAGAGCCTGGGGATCCATGTAGATTAAAAGCTTAACGTGAGCTCGGAATGTGCTCTCGCAGCCTGGAAGGCCAAATGCATCCAGGGCTACAAAAAGGGGATTGGACAGCAGGGAGGGGAGGTGACTGTGCACCTCTGTTCTGTCCTCAGGAGGACCCAGCACAAGAAGGATGCAGAGTTTCTGGAGCAGGTCCAAAAGGAGGGCCACAAAGACGATGGGAGGACTAGAGAACATCTCCTAGGAAGACAGGTGGGGGGAGATGGGTTTGTTTAGGCTGGGGAAGAGAAAGCTCCAAGGAGAGCTCTCTGCATCCTTTCACTGCCTGGAGGGAGCTTATGAAAATGGATATCCAAGCCACAAGCCATGAATTTCTCCAGGAAAAAGGAGCAGCCCGTAGTCGGCAGGATTCGAACCTGCGCGGGCAGAACCCAATGGATTTCTAGTCCATCGCCTTAACCACTCGGCCACGACTACTGCACGTCATGGGTGTGCACCGTCTGCCCCGAGGAACGCTATAAAATCGAGAGCAATGTGTGGATTGAGCGACTGGATGACACCGTGGTCAACCTCACCTCGTGGGAGGCACCCTGGCCCATAGCCACAGGGTTGGAGCGAGGTGGTACCTAAGGTCACTTCTGCTATGAAGGAGAGCGTTGGGATTTAGCTAACGTACTCTGCTGCATCTCTTGAGGGTGCAAGAACTGCCATAATCTTTTTCACAGTTTTTCAAAGGCCCTCTGAATGAGTCCTCCCCTCCATGAGTCACTCCTGCATCTCGAATAGCTTTTGTTTAGAGATAATTTTTTTTTTAATGAAAAATTCCACACAGTTTGCAGGTATTGTCTTTGTGGGATTGTGTTCATCTGCAGCTCTGCATTGGTGTTGTCAGCACTGCATCTGATATCTAACTTCTTCCTAGAGACCATTTGAAGTTACTCTGAGGTCTTTTTTATTTCTTTGTCTCAAAAAAGGCTCTTAATCAGGGGGAAGAAGAGGAGGCATTGTCCATATGCCAATCAGAAAATGGACAGCACGAATCTCTGAATTTCAAATCCAGTATCAATTGTGACAGGTCAGTGCAAGTATGTCCATTTAAGTTTTAACCCTTTTAATACTAGAAGTTAGTGTTAAATAGGCTGAGTTATAAAGGTGTTAGAAGATGTTGTATGAGAATAGTTAACTCAATCTTGCGTGGTTTGTTTCCTGTTTGCGTGATTTTTGTTTTTGTTCCCCCCATACTACTTTATTGACCTCGGAATTCTAAGGAAGCCTTTGTGCTAATCTTAAACCTGTGAATGAGCTTGAATGGAGAGCTCCCCTGAGTAGTTACGGAGAAAAAACTTTTTGTAGATTGCAGAAGTAATCTCAAGTCATGCTACTATATCGTGATTAGTTGTTATGCTTGTTTTGAATATAGGCTACTTCGTATATTGAGAGAAGAAAATTCCTCAGCAAATTCTGAGTTGTGGGCTGAAAGAGATTTGAGAAAAACTACTGTATCACAGGAAATACCTTTGACTCCAACAATTCCGTCTTCATCATTGGAACATTCAGGTTGGATTTGCTTAATCACAGCCTCTCAAGGGTTGTTAAGCTGTTTATAGGACCCTGTCTCAAGTTCCTTATCTGGGTTGAGATGAGAAATAGAGATGTGTTAATTTGGCTTAGATGAATTTTCACACTAAGAAGCCTAATTTTCTAGTATTTATAATGTCTTTATAACGTAGCACTATTAAGAACATAACTGAAATTTTATGTGTGTTTTTTTGCTTTGTATTTAAATCAGCCCTCAATGCTTCCAGTGTAGTCAAGAGAATCCATTCAAGACATCAGAATCAAGATGAAGAAGAGACCGTAGACTCTGCTTATACTGTGAGACAAGTGCTGAACCCAAACTCAAGCAAAGAAAAGCAAATTTCAGCAAAAAGTTTAGTACTTTCAAAAACAGCATTCTTCCTTTGACCAAGGTCCTTACTATCATGGGAAAATGTGTCTTGAAAAGGGGATCTTTGGAGGTCATCTACTCATGCTCCCTGCTCAGAGGAGAGCTAACTCCAAAGGTTCCGGGGGGGCTCAACTACTGAGGTTTTGAGAATTTGTAAAGGTTGACATTCTGCAACCCTTATGTAGTATATTCCAGTGACAAAGCAAAGTCCATAGGAAGGAGGAAACCATAAATGCAATTCTGTGATGCAACCCATTTTCTTGCTGAGCGTAGAGTTCTCTCCTTTGTGGTGCTTTTCTATTTCTTTTACAACTTTCTGTTCTATGCTGCACAGATATATTACGAATTTTCATCTCCTTATTCTGCACACCATTTATACCTGTTGCCAATCCCTATATACAACTATTAACATGAAAAGATTGTTGTAAAAGTTAGTAAATACAAGACCTGAAAGCAGCTGATGTTTTTCACTGGATGATCACTAGCAAACTGTTTCTGTGCTTCTAATTTGAAAGAAGAAAAGCAAAAATAGATGTCTAAGATAAATGCACCAGTGAAACTTGAGTGGAACCAACGTGGTGGCATAAAGTGTATTTTTGGATTATTGAAAATAATTGGAATGTCTGGGGGCATTCTTTGACGGTCCGTTACAGCTTAGTTCAGAAGAGGACCTCTCCTTTGATATATTTCAGTAAACAATATAATTTCATTCTTACTTGCAAAGCTTTCTATACAAATTGAAATTTCAATGACTTTTTTTTTTTTTCCTAGTGAAAAGGAAACAAACTGCACAGAACTCTACAAGGCAGAGGAGAGATGATTCTCCTGCTTATTCCATCCCCATGGACCTTCAGAGGGACAGTAAATCCAGCCTAGATGTTCTCAGCTGCATGATACACGAAGTGGAGCATGAATTAGAGGAATATGAGCGATGTACAGGCCGTGAGGTTAGAAGACTGCAGAAAAGTGAAGGCATCACCGGATTTACCTCGTCACTGGTGAATGCACTCTGTCGTTTGATGCGCTACCTCAAAGAGGTGAGAAGACTTTGAGTTCCTTCCGTAGAATGAATGTAAAAGGATATAAAATTACTGTAGAATAATCAACGTTGGTCTTCCCTGGCTCCTAGTTACTTCACTTTGAAGCCTAATTATTGTTACTTACTTGAATTGTATGCAACTAGCAGGTAAAGCTCAGCGTGTTAGAAACAGGGATCCCTTATGAAAACGTAGGAGATGACTACAATGAAAGACTCCTGGTGACTATTCACAAAAAATATTAATGGGAATATTTTTGAATTTAATTTCTTACGTATGTTCAGAATTGTAGCAGGATAATAACTACAGCTTTGTTGACAAATGTATTTTCTTCTTTCACTCTCAAAATGATACGACTGGGGCTACAAAAGTGTACCCAAATCCTATTTCTTTTTTCTTTAAGGGATTCCTTAGCTTTCTTCTTCCATTTATACCAGCATATTCATCTTAAGCAAGAACAACGTGTAGTGCTGACAGCAGCAATGCAGAGCTGCAGATGAACACAATCCCACAAAGACAATACCTGCAAGCTGTGTGGAATTTTTCATTAAAAAAAAAATTATCTCTAAACCAAAGCTATTCAAGATGCAGGAGTGACTCATGGATTCAGAGGGCCTTTGAGAAACTGTGAAAAAGATTATGGCAGTTCTTGCACCCTCAAGAGATGCAGCAGAGTACGTTTCCTAAATCCCAACGCTCTCCTTCATAGCAGAAATGACCTTAGATACCGCCTCGCTCCAACCCTGTGGCTATGGGCCAGGGTGCCTCCCACGAGGTGAGGTTGACCACGGTGTCATCCAGTTGCTCAGTCCACACATTGCTCTCGATTTTATAGCGTTCCTCGGGGCAGACGGTGCACACCCATGACGTGCAGTAGTCGTGGCCGAGTGGTTAAGGCGATGGACTAGAAATCCATTGGGTTCTGCCCGCGCAGGTTCGAATCCTGCCGACTACGGGCTGCTCCTTTTTCCTGGAGAAATTCATGGCTTGTGGCTTGGATATCCATTTTCATAAGCTCCCTCCAGGCAGTGAAAGGATGCAGAGAGCTCTCCTTGGAGCTTTCTCTTCCCCAGCCTAAACAAACCCATCTCCCCCCACCTGTCTTCCTAGGAGATGTTCTCTAGTCCTCCCATCGTCTTTGTGGCCCTCCTTTTGGACCTGCTCCAGAAACCCTGCATCCTTGTTGTGCTGGGTCCTCCTGAGGACAGAACAGAGGTGCACAGTCACCTCCCCTCCCTGCTGTCCAATCCCCTTTTTGTAGCCCTGGATGCATTTGGCCTTCCAGGCTGCGAGAGCACATTCCGAGCTCACGTTAAGCTTTTAATCTACATGGATCCCCAGGGCTGCTTTTAATGAGTTCTCCCAGTGCGTAAACCTAACCTGGGACTGTAACAAACCAGGTGCAACACATTGCTCTTGCCTTGTGGAACCTCACTAGGTTGATGTCGGCCCACTTCTCTAGCCTGTGCAGGTTTCACAGGGCGGCATCTCTGCTGGCTGCAGCATCAACTACGCTACTTCGCTTGGTGTCATCAACAAGCTTGCTGAGGGTGCATTCAATCCTACTGTCTGTGTCGTTGATAAAGATGTTGAAGAGTACCAGTCCCAAGATGGACTCCTGGGGCACAGCACTTATGACCGTTCTCCACCTGGATGTAGGGCCATTGACTACAACCCTCTGGCTGCAACCAGCCAGCCAACTCCTTATCCACTGGATAGTCTGCCCTTCAAATCCGTATCTCTCCAATATGGAGATAAGGATGTAGTGTGGGATTATGTCAAAGGCCTTGCAGAAGTCCAGGTAGATGACGTGGAACTGTCTCCTCTTCCTGGGTAATGCAGTCACTCCTTCATGGTAGGCCACTGGTTTGATCAGATACCATCTGCCCTTAGTGAAGCTGTGCTGGCTACTTTGGGTCATCTCCTCTTTCTGCATGTACCTTAACACAGCTTACTGAAGGATCTGAGGTAAGGCTCACTAGATCTCTCCTCTTTGACTTCCTTTTTCAGGTTGAATAGTCACTGGAAAAAATTGAAAAGTGTTTTTGTATTAAATGTAGCTCATAACACTTGTTCTGTGTTCTGAGTTGCACTTTGGAAGCAGAGTATGAAATTTGTTGAGGTTTTTGGTTGTTTGTTTTTTTGCAATGATGTGTTTTCTGTTTAGTAGGAAAGAATCAACTTAATAGTATCTAATTCATGTTATAATTATAACATAATTTTCATCCTTGTTCCTCGGGGCAGACGGTGCACTCCCATGACGTGCAGTAGTCGTGGCCGAGTGGTTAAGGCGATGGACTAGAAATCCATTGGGTTCTGCCCGCGCAGGTTCGAATCCTGCCGACTACGGGCTGCTCCTTTTTCCTGGAGAAACTCATGGCTTGTGGCTTAGACAGGTGTGCAGTTCTCCTGGTGAAAAGCTGCCTGGATGCCTGGGCCCGAGGAATTGTGGTGAATGGATTTATATCCAGTTGGAGGCTGGTCAGAGGTGGTGTCCCATAGGACTTGATACAAAGAGTGGCAAAGCTGGTGAGTTGTCTAAAGAGGAAGTCTTTATGAGGAGCAGCTGAGGGACCTGGGGTTGTTTAGCCTTGGAAAAAGGAGACCTTGTTGTCCTCCTCATCTACCTCAGAAGAAGTTGTAGTGCGATGGGGTTTGTTTTCAGTTCCATGCAGGGAGTGAGAGGACAAGAGGTAATGTTTTCAGGTTGCATGGGGGGAGGTTTAAGTTGGATACTAGGAAAAGTTTCTTCACTGAAAGGGTTGTGAAGCACCTGGACAGGCTGCTCAGTGAAATAGTTGAGTCCCTATCCTTAGAGATGTCTAAAAGATGTGCTGACTAGGGATGTAGTGTAATAATTCAGTTGACAGTACTAAGTTAGCACTGAGTTAAGTCATAGGTCTTTTCCAAACCAAATGATTCTATGATTATGTAATCTTCACTGTCTATTCCTCTTCTCATGCAGCTTTAAATTATGTTTAGAGTTTGCAAATTCACTGGGAAGATGTATAGCTTCTCTGTACTTTTTATTTATTTATTTTTTAAACTAGTGCCTGCAGTGCTAGGAATAAAAGCGCTTGTGTGCACCATCTTGCTTCCACAGTAGTATTAGTAAATATCCAAGGTCAGCATTAGGTAGATGGCACTATGTTTCAAGATAACAAATCGGTGTTGGCTATTTAAGATGTCTGTGATTTCAGGTAAGCAACCAGTCTTCCAGACATACTGAAGCCTATCGGAAAATTCCCCTTTCTGAGGAGAAAAAGATTTCCCAGTTTTGCTGCAGAAAAGCCAAACACAGTTGATGATAAAACTCGTTGCTTGATTTATTCTCAAAATGATAATAATAATTAGGAGGAAAACCTTGAATTAATGAATCTTGCATGAAAATTGTATTAATAAATGATTTTTTAAAAATCGACTACTAAGAGAAGAGGATAGTGAATATGAAAGAAGCTAGGGAAAAAAAAAAGCGCCTGCTGAAATGTTTGACAACAGATAGGAAATTGTTAAAGCAAAGCAGATAAACCTGACTTGAATCACAAGTCTTGGGTTGGAAGGAACCTCAAAATCCATCCAGTTCAAACCCTGTGCCATGTGTGGGGTTGTCAGCCATTAGATAAGCGCCCAGGGCTCCATCCAAACTAGCCTTGAATACCTTCAGAAATGGGACATCCACAACTTCTTACTCAGCAGTGGTGAAACTTCACCTTGAGTACTGTACTCAGTTTTGGGCCCCTCATAGACATCAAGGCCATGGAGCATGCCCAGAGAAGGGCTGCAAAATGGGTGAGGTCTGGATCGCAAGTCTTACAATGAGCAGCTTAGGGAACTGGGATTGTTTGGAGGAGAGGAGGCTCAAGAGACATTATAGCTCTGTAGAAGTACCTGGAAAGAGGTTGTGGCAAGGAGGTGGTCAGCCTCTTCTGTTTAACTAGCGACAGAGCTAGAGGGAATGGCCTCAGGTTGTGACAGGAGATTTAGGTTGGACATTAGGAAAGATTTCCTCTAAAGAGTAGTTAGGCATTGGAATGGGCTGCCCAGGGAGGTGGCTGAGTCACCATCCATGGAGGTTTTCAAGTAACGTTTAGATGGTGCTGTAAGGGACATGGTTTAGTGGGGAAATATTGGTGGTATGTGGGCAGTTGGACTGCATCATCTTGGAGGTCTTTTCCAACCTTGGTGATTTTGACTCTCTGGTCAGTCTGTTCCAATGCTTCACCCTCTGAGTAAAGAGTATCCTCCAAACCATCTAATCTAAATCTCTTCTTTTAATTTAAAACTATTCCCCCTTGTCCTATCACTACCTGCCCATGTAAAAAGTCCTCTTCTAGTTCCTCTTCAAACTGTATAACTGTTGGAAAAAAATGTTTTAAAATCTTTCTCAGGGTGTTTAATAATACAAAAAAAAAAAAAAAAAATTGAAATTCTATTTATATGTTTATTTCCTGTAGGGATGTGCAGTAACTTACTCCTGTGCCACGCAGTATTCAATTTACATGCAAGAAATTACTTTGATTAAGACCTGTGTTGCAAGCAAACAGTAAATATTCAATTCGTGAGTGAGAAACCACTATTTCCAGATGATGGGTCTTGGCTGAGAAGAGCTTATGTTTTAAACGCAGCTCTTAACACTCATTCTTTGTTGAAGCTGCCATGCTTGAGCAGGGTAATAAATTTAGAGTTTGTGCAGTTACAGGGAAGGACATTTTTGGACTATAGAGGGAGAGATCCCAATTTAGTAGGAAAACATCAAGTTGCTAGCATCAAATTCACGCTGTAATTGCATTTATAACACTATTTAGTTTCTCCTTATGTTCTATAGAAGTTAGTTAAAGCCAATCTTCATAATTCTTTCAAAACTGCTTATGAATTTTAAATGTAGCAGCTAAGAAAGAAAAATAGGACATCTATAAAGTAATCATCCAATACATCTTAAAGGCCAAGGAATCTGAGTTTTTCTAGAGGCTATTGTGTTGTGAAAGACGTATCCTGACCCTGTGTTTCTAATTTTTACTAAGTACCTCTTTTTTAATCTGATAGATGTGTTGTCATTTCTTCCTTCCAGGAGTTGATTGCATGCAAAATCATCTTCAGCTTGTAAAAGTGTACAGTCCAAATTCATAAGTGGAAATGGGCAGCAGTTACTCAAGCTACAAAGTGTGCTTGATTGTCTTTGTTGTTCCTCGGGGCAGACGGTGCACACCCATGACGTGCAGTAGTCGTGGCCGAGTGGTTAAGGCGATGGACTAGAAATCCATTGGGTTCTGCCCGCGCAGGTTCGAATCCTGCCGACTACGGGCTGCTCCTTTTTCCTGGAGAAACTCATGGCTTGTGGCTTAGACAGGTGTGCAGTTCTCCTGGTAAAAAGCTGCCTGGATGCCTGGGCCCGAGGAATTGTGGTGAGTGGATTTATATCCAGTTGGAGGCTGGTCACGAGAGATGTGTCCAGGGATTCAATACCTGGAACAGTTCTTTTAAATATCTTCGTTAAAGATCTGAACATGGGTTCCTAAATAAGACTAAATGTCATCTGCTGTCCTGGCTGAACAAGGAGGTTTTGCTGATAGTCTGAGGGAAAAAAGAGTTTACCATCTTTGGAAGAAAGGTCAGTCTACTCAGGTGAGGATGTTGCTGTGGTATGCATGGGGAAAATTAGAAAGGCCCAGCAAGAACTTAATCTGGCCATGATCGTTGAAGATAACAAAAAATATTTTTATGAATATATAAACAGCAAGAGGAGGGCCAAGGAGAGTCTCCCGCCTTTATTTGGTGCAGCAGGGAACATTATCACTGAGGACATGGAAAAGGCTTATGTTCTCAGTGCTTTCTGCTGTCTTTCATAGTCAGGCCAGTTATCTTCAGAGTACTCAGCTTTCTGAGCTGGAAGACAGGGATGGGGAACTGAATAAGCTTTCCGTAATTCAGAAGGGGAAACAGTTTAGCAACGTGCTACTTGATCTGGACTGTCACAAGTCCATAGGACCAGATCGGATCCATCTGAGGGTAATGAGGGAGCTGGTGGAAGTGATTGCTAAGCTGTTTCCATCATTTATGAGCAGTCCTGGTCAACTGGGGAGGTCCCGGATAGTGGAAGACTTGGAAATGTGATGCTCATCTAGAGAAAGGGTCAGAAGGAGGATCAGGGGAACTACAGTCCTGTCAGTTTGACCTCAGTATTCGGAAAGCTTGTGGAGAAGATCATCTTGACTGTGATCATGTGGCAAGCGCAGAACAACCAAGGGATCAGTCGTAGCCAGCATGAAAGGCAGGTCCTACTTGACCAGCCTCATCTTTTATGACTAGATGACCTGCCTAGTGGATGAGGCTGTGGACATACTCTACCTGGACTTCAGTGAAGCCTTTGACACTCTCTCCCACAGCATCCTCCTGGAGGTGCTGGCAGCTCATGGCTGGAGCTGGACAAATGTATTCTTTGCTAGATGAAAAACTGGCTGGATGTCTGGGCCCAGAGGGTGATGATGAATGGAGTTAAATCCAGCTGGTGAGTGGTCACTAGTGGTATTCCTCAAAGGTCAGTATTGGGGTCAGCCCTGTTCATTATTTTTATTGATGATATGAACTAGAGGATTGAGTACACACACAGAAGTTTGCAGATGATGTGAAGTTGGGAGCAAGTGTTGATCTTCCTGAGGGTAGAAAGGCTCTGCAGGGGGATCTGGATAGTCTGAATCGATGGGCTGAGGCCAATTGTATGACCTTTTAACAAGATCAGTTACAGGGTCCTGTGTTTTGGTTAAAACAGCAGGCTGGCCCAGGCGTCATTACAGGCTTGGAGCAGAAAGCTGTGTGGGAGGAAAAGGATCTGTGTATGTTAGTTGACAGCAAGCTGAGTGTGAGCCAGCAGTGTGCCCAGTTGGCCAAGAAAGCCAGTGGGCATCCTGGCTGGTATTAGAAATAATGTAGACCGCAGACCAGGGAGGTAATTGTCTCCCTTGTACTCAAGTGCACCTTGTATACTGCATTCCGTTCTGGGCCCCTCACTACCAGAAAGACATTGAGGCCCTGAGAGCGTGTCCAGAGAAGGGCAGCTAAGTTAGTGGAGGGTCTGGAGCACAAATCTGATGGGGGGCGGCTGAAGGAAGTGGGACTGAAGAAGAGGAGGCTCAGGGGATATCTTATTGCTCTCTACAATTCCCTGTAAGGAGGTTTTTGCAAGGTGGGAGTCGGTCTCTTTTCTCAGGTAACAATGATAGGATGAGAAGTAATGGCTTTAAGTTGCACTGGGGGAGCTTCCGTTTTGATATTAGGAAAAAATGTCTTCTCAGAAAGAAAAAAAAGAAGAGTGAAGCATTGGAACAGGCTGCCCAGGGAGATGGTTTATCCACTGTTCCCACAACAGGGTGGATGTGGCACTGAGTAATGTGGGCATGATGGTGATGAGTTGATGGTTGGGCTAAGATGATCTTAAAGGTCTTTTCCAACTATAACAATTCTATAAAATGTTAGAATTTTACTTTTTTTTTTTTTCCTTGCCATTCTTCAAGACATTATTCCTTCGCAAGACACAGGGGATGAATACATAGCAAGGTACATTCATGTAATATGTGCATACTCATATGTTCTCTGTCTCTGCTTCTGTGTATTCTGCTGCAGTGTTAAAACAAGTTTATGTGATTAGGGGTACTCCTGGCAGTAGGCTGGAATGAAGACAGTTCTTTCAGGATATAGCAGACTTACATTCTGTCTGATGATAGGAATATAAACAGTTATGATGATATACATAGTAGTTAGCTGACAGTCTCCCCATACATAAATGTAAGATGCATATCTGTGTGGAATCTTTTCCTCTTAGACTAATGTAACTAAATTAACTAAATAAGATTCACTATCATTGTATTATTAGAAGTTGCAGTAGCTCTTCCACTCACTTGGAGGCATCCATACAGGCTTCATCACTGCTGCCAGGGTTGGAGTTCTTATTTTGTGCTTTCTCTGGTTTCTGAAAAGGTAGGGTTATGTTTGTTTACATTTGCTACCTCAGTTTGCTGCACTTGCGTCAGTGTGAAAAATCTGTTCTCTCAACCTGGAAGAGAACTAGAAAATGGTTAGACCATCTGATTGGCTTAGGTGGGATGTATCTGAGTGTCTCTAGTAACAACTACTCTGTTTTATTCTCAATAATATCTACTTCTTCATTCGTTCTTTGTAGCTGCAGAGCTGTTTTGCCCTCATGCTTGGTGTTTTTCCACATCTGATACCGATGCTAATAATAAATAATCTACAGTCCATGACAGGCAGCTCTTGTAATTCTGCCTGCACAGAGAAGATGACCCAAACTGCTTTTCAGGATCCTTTTGGAGATGGGATGTATGTCTTTTATTCAAGAATTTCTTTGAGTAAATACAGGCTGCCATTTGTGGTATGGGCTCATTTCCTAATTCTGATGTATCTGATGCTCTGTAAAACATCTGCTCCACTAGCTGGGGTAAAAATGGCAGTCGTGTGGTTTGTGTACTCAGTAGGGGTGGGAGGGAGTCTCGGGTGTTTTGTCATGTACAGGAAGCCTGTCTGCTGCTGTACCTACCTTAAAAAATTGTAGATCAACTGTATCTTTTGAGGGTGAATGATTCTTTACAGTGAGGTCTTTTTGCCTTGTGTTCCAGTAGATTCCTCAACGCTTTTCTTTTTTAAAAAAAAAACAAACCGTACAAAAAAAGGGAACTTAGAACTTTTTCTCTCTATGAGAGCAGTGAGCTAGTGCTTTCTCTTTTGTTTAGTCAAATCTGTCTTTATTAGTGAATTAAGAAAGACAAAGATAAGGAACAGGGTAGCAAAGGATAGTGACAAGCATTGGTGTACCCAGAATTATTTCATTTCTACATGGAGAAGATTCAGTGCCTTAAAAAATGATGTCCGTTTGGGGAGGAAGATGTTTTTTTCTGCCTTTGTTGTTTCAGCCTATAAAAGTTGCAAGGATTTAAAGGATTCCCTCTGGTGTTGTGGAGTAACAAACAACAGTAAGGTCACTGAGGGTTCTCAAACACTGGAAATTGGATTTTGTAGTGAAGGTACTGCAGTCAGTCAGACAACAGTGGGAAGAGCTGTTACAGGATAATGTGTGTGAGTCATTCCTGTTTTCAAATACTAATTTCTATCATAGGCTTTTAACTTTTTCTCCCTGTTTAGAGTGAAATGCAACTGCATGAGAAAGAGATGATGAGGCAGCATCATGAAGAGATGTTGAATGAGCACAGAGAACTAATTGATGCTCTGACTGCTGAAATACTTCTAGTAAGGGAAGAAAACATTGCTATGCAGGTACTAAGCCCCTTTCTCCAACTTGCTAGAATAGTGAGTTTTGCTGCAAGCATATAGACTGAGATGCATTGTCTGTATGTTCAGGAAATAAAATGATAAAATTAAATAAGGAGTCTGAGAATGTCAGCTATGGGACGGGGATGTTTGTAAACATTTTATCTTTATAATGTTTAACTTTAATTCCTGAGAAAATGCTCATTCCCTGCAGCTGACTTTTTTTTCATTACATACAATCTAATGATCCACATCTGCAGCTACTAGAGCTGTGAAATAGAATAAACATAATACTACATTCTCATTTTTTTCAGTTTGCAGTGATGGTAGATTATTGTTTACGTCTGGAATTGAAGCAATAAATCAACTTTGGAGAAGAGATGATAAGGAAAAGGAAAAATGAGAATTTCTTTGATCCAAGAGAAAAAAATAAAGGATAAATGTAGAGATGTGGATAATTCATACCTCACTGCAATCTCACAAATTCATGCAGAGATATTAAGAGGCCAGATTTCTTCTCAGTGCTGCTTGCGATCTATAGTTCTCTGATTCATATTGCTAGAATAAAAATCTGTCTCTTTTTTTCCTTAGAAAAAGCTTCAGCAGTACATGATCGAAACAGATGAAAAGATGACCTCTCTCACACAAGCATTTAAAGGCCTCCCTTTGATAGAACCTAGGAGAGAAGACTTAAGTCCATGCCATTTTGGAATTGCACACAAAAGTCCGTCATGCACCCAAGGTAATGTGTATGCATGTGTGAAGGAAATGAGAGGCTACTTTTATTCTTACAGTGGAAAACGTGGTGGTTAATAGATGTCTGTTTGAATAAAAGCGTCTTGTGAACTTGAATCTCACTTCTGGAAAGTCATATGCTGTGGGTTCTGCTGCAAGCATAAGCACTTATCTACAGATTTATTTATTTTTTTAGATTTACTTATTTATTATTGTATGCTGAATTCTCTGTCTCAGTCTGGACTTGAAAGTTATCCATATAAAGAACTCTGGACATTTTAGTGACAAGTCATGTACAAAAAAAGAGGCAGAAGGGGAGTAACCTTTCCCAACAAATGAGGGGCATCCTTTTCCTTACCCCAATAAGATATAAGGTCACGTTTGTCCTGAGGGTCTTACAAAAAAAAATAAAAATAAAAATAAAATCCATCTGAAGCAGGATCCTGGATTCTACCTTTCTGTTGCTGAGGCATACTGATAGTTTGAGATTGGTTCTTCCATTAAACACTGGAGGTCGCTGCTGACCAGAAACAGCAGTTGCTTTGATTTGTGAAGCAATCAAGCACAAGGCTGTTATTTGATGTTGGTGAGTTATATCGGAGGTGAATGACCACTTGAGAGCATTTATGACCATTTGGGACCATTTATGACCATAAACATTATCTTAGGCAAACAGCTCCTTTCGGCTCTTTGCTTTACAGAGTGCTTTTTGTCTCTTGTATTTTGGGATCACGTGTGTTCTCCCTGAATTTCCAGTAACTTTACTACTGGGAACAAATGTCCTGAGCAAAATCATGAAGGGATAATTCAAATGTAGCATTAAGGAAGCAGTGCATACAAGTATATTAAAATTACTGTGGTCTCACAGCTAGCTGCAGCTTTGAGTTTGTGCATTTCATACCTTCCTGGTATGTTCAGTGTAGATGATACACAAACTAGTTTTAGTCGAGTACTGAGGAATAGCTTGTATCTTTACTGGAGAGATGTTTTGATTTGAATTAAGTCATAATAAGAGCACCAGAGAGTTCAAAAAAGCTTTGAATTTTTCTCCACTCTGCCATGAACAGGGATAGTGTATATTTACTCTCCTGAGCATATTATCAAATGCAGCTTGCTTACATACCTGTGCCTCACAAGTCATGTGTCTTTACATTTCATGCATGGGCTACAAACAGATCTCTATCTAGTATCCTGAAGTGGGGAGGTTATGTACATAGATTGCTTTGGAAGTAACGCCTCCTACTTATTCCTGTGGAAATGCTACAGATATGAAGAGCTCAATAATGCTGCTTGATAGAGCCAGTTCTCAGCTACAAAATACTACTTGTCAGCATAGTTACCACCATTAGCTGTGCATTTTTGCCAGCAATGAACAAGAGCCTGTATGGCATGCTTATCAAAATCTGCACTGGCACAATGACCACTGTTGAAATGCACCACCCGCCACCTCAGTGTGCTCATATCCACTGTTTGGTCTCCATAAATGTTCAGCAGATGTCAGTGAATGTCAGTGTGTGCCTTTGTTTCTGCATGGAGGAATTAACGACACCCCTTTGCTTCGTTTGCACTTCTATGTCAGGCACCATTTTGTCAGGCTGCCCCTCTTGCTGCTATCTGTTACATGGCAATAACATATAACAGTGTTGGCGAGAAGGTTCAGCCTCTGCTGCCAAACCACCAACATCTATCTCTGGCACTGTGGGCCAACAGAAGAAAATAGGAAGCATAACTTTCTGAGCAGAATTTGTATAATAGCATTGTTGGGTTTTTTTCTCCCCACTCTCAAACCCAGTGAAAGTTTTGTACCTGGGGAGATCAGAAGAAAGCTGGGATTGTGTCGGGAATGTGCTCTAGTGTGTCTTTCCAGAAACCTAAACGTAAGAATTGTCATTGAGATTTTTCTTTACATAGGTTTTGCACTAATGCTAATTCTGCTGTTCTTTAAATTCTACTCCTGCTTCATCTCTTCCTTTAGAAAAACCTGATCTGAGCTATTTTGAATCCAGGACTGGTGAAGGCGAAAGGAAGAATATGCTGAAATTCCCACAGGAAGAACACCCTGTCAGGACTCCTCAGAGGCCATGTGCCCCAGGTGATGCGGCAGCAGGTAGAAGCTGGCCAGCTCAGGTCTTCCAGCCAGCTGTACTGTTGTCACCACCCCGACAGAAGGACAGTCCGGAATTGTCTCCCTTCCAGAACAGTGAGATCTCTCTGGCTAAAGTAGATTTGGAAGTCTGTGTAGTGTGTTACTATTTCAATGTCTGAGGCTCATATTACCTTTGGAGTTATTTTCGCTTATTTTATTCTGCCCAGACACCTTGGCCCTATAGCTGGAATATCTTGCTTCTGCACCCAGGGCTTTTCTTTTCTTTCTGTGCCTGCTAGATTTCCTTTAGACTTTCTGTCTCCTACAGTTCTCCATTTATAGGCTTATCAGTGGCAGTGCAGACTGACATTTTTATCTCGTACTGATTTTTTGATTTGCTGTAGTTCTCTCTCTGTGATTTACATTGTCTCTGATCTCCATCTGCTGATGGAGTAATACTTTCTCTGTATTCACCTATGGAACCATGGAGTACTAGAAATCAGCCTGTTCTGCAGACAAAGCAGGATGTCCATAGGTTGCATGGTGGTCATGTGTGTGGTGTGTTCAGAATTTGCTAATGATGACCACAAAAATATCCAACTATTAATGGGTTGGTAAATAGTTTGTTGTTATTATAGAAGCCTTGTATTATTGTATTGTACTATTCCAAAAGCTTTGTTACCAGCCCAAATAACTAGCAGAAGGAAAATGCAGATTTGTAGTTTATTGGGTAAGATAATTGGATTGTGGAAAAGGGAGGGCTAATTCAGAACTATTCCTTTACTTCTTGTCTGTAGTATTTACAACTGTTTCTCAGCCTGCTGAAAACACTGTGAGAGAGCCATGCAAGGAGAGGAGCTCACCTTCCCCCCTGAAAACGTGGAGCGTGACTGAGGAAAACTGTCTCATGTCTCAAAGGCAACCAATTCCTCCTGCAGACAAAGACTTGCAGAGTACCCAAGAGAAAATCAGTTTGTCCTGCCCTGCTGACGCTACCAAAAATGACACAGTTGGAGAGTTCTCTCAAAGCAGTGATCTGCTGGGACAGATTGCTGAGCTCACACGGCAGAACTCACTAATTAAAGCTCAGCTGAGCAAATTCAGAAGCTTCTCTGAAGACATAAGTGACTGTCTGCCTCAGCCAGACCCAATACAAAATGCAGATTCTTGTCCAGACTCTTCACAAGGGCAGGTGAGAAGTAAAAAAAGAAGAAAGAAAAAAACCAAGGAAGGCTGGATTCCCTTTTGTGTGCATCTGCTTTCCCTTAGCTTGCTGGTGTTATAAGTGTTTCTTCCTTGTTTCTTCTTTAAGAAGAGTAGCAGAACAAATGTTCATTCATTCACTTGGAGACTTTGATTTTACTGTTCCCTGAGGTCCACAGTAATTTCTAATGTTGGGCCTATGTTATATATGAATGCTTAAAATCTCCAAGTGTGGGGCGGGTTTATAAGTGTTTAAATAAGGTTCTGCTGCACAGAGAGAGATTACTGCATGTCTCTTGTAGCTTGGATAATATTAACAATGAAATGACAGCAGATAATATTAACAGTGCAAACACTGCATCAACCCACAGATCCCACACCATGTGTCCTTTCTGCTACTGTGATGTAAAAGCTCTTGAAATTTATTTTGCTTAATATCTTGTGAATACATGAAACTAGTAGATATATCTGTTTGGGTCTGTCTTGTCCTATTGTGCAGTGAAAATCCCAATATTTTTGGGAAAGAATTTCAAGGCTTCAGTTCACACAGGATATATTGAATCTGAAGCTAAACAGCTATTCAGTGGCACCCCAGTGAGTGGAGTTAACAGCACAAAAACGCCCAATCCCTGTACTTGTTATTGTCTGTTCTTTCATCTGAATTGCTGTTCAGTTAAAGATCCTAAAGATATAAAATTTCCTCATTTTAAAATGTAGGCTGAGAATGTGGTCACTTTCTGCATTGTGTTACGTTGTGTAACGCTCAGTAATTCAGTTGTATGAGGATGCAAACTTTTAAAATGTTTTTGTGAAAATAATTACTGGAGGGGAAGGGGTCACGTGGATGAAAACCTGATTTAAAGATGAGTTGCAAGATAGTTCTGCTAGTAATCTGCTTTTCTTCCACATTTGTAGTTGAATGCATGGCTTTCTGGTTAAATATTTTCTTAACTGTAGTTAATTGCTGGAGGGTTGTAGGTTTTCTGTCTTTGTTTTGTTATTTGGAATGATACAGATGAGCTCTTCTTCCTATTTGTAGGAAGACCTGTTTTAAAACGTTGTTTTTAGTCATCTTAAGTTTTTAATTAGAAGTAATTATCCATTTATCTAAGTAGGCTCATGTTGTGGTACCGAAGAGCTTGGAGGAAAGAATAGCAGAGCTGAATCGTCAGAGCACAGAAGCACGTGATAAACTGCTGCAGCTAATAGATCAGCAGAAATTAGCTGCTGCTGATACAGTCTCTCAGAGAATATCTCCAGTTCTGCCCGCATCCCGAAATTGTACTGGTAAGTACCCAGCTTCAGGAGGAACAAAAACCTAGTAAAATGTTTTTCCCCTTCTGTGGGAGGTCTCTTCCTTAACTGATTGGATCAGCAGACATAGTCAGCAATGTGCTTTCTATCAGTGTTTGCATGCTACAAGCACCCGTCATTTTAGAGGTGATGGATTCCAGACAGTTATGCAAGATACACCTGCTGAACTTCTCCTGAAGTTAGTTTCCTAGCAACTAGTTCAGTGCAAATGTTATATTTCATGGTCAGTTTGTTCTTTGTTGTGCCCTTGTCTGCAGAACAGTTCTGCTGTGCAGTGACTGAAGGGCAGAACTGTGTTTTGTTGCCAACAGCCAGCAGGGCAGTTCTCAGTGTCTCACATTCTCAATATTTTAATTCTTCTTGCAGCATTTCCATCAGTATTTTCTGATGGGCAATCTTTTTTTTTTTGAAAATACTAAGTATTTACATCAAGCTTCTAAAAGTGATGACAGAGTGATTATCTGTATCTCAACCATGTTTTGGTCTTTTGGGTGCTGTTTCACTTTGCTAAGTTACTGCCTGTGCTAAAAGAAAGAAAGAACTGATGTTTCTAGTCATGTGAATAGATGAATTAGTGAAGGGGATGTTTTTGCTGATTCAAGAGCCCTAGATGAGCTGCCATATGTAACTACAAAGGAAAATACCTTCCAGTAGATTAGGTCGTCTTAATCTTTTTTTGTGGAGTTACTGTAATTACAGGCAGAACTGTGTCAGCATGTTCACATGTGCTCTGTGTAGGACCCAGACTTTCCTGCTTCCTAAACCTAGAGGATGTATAAAGGATGTATTCCAGGGAAGGACTTGAGGGTGGAGAAGAAGGAGGAGGAGGGGAGATCCTGTGTGTGCACGTGCATGTAGGTGCATATGTAACCATATGTAATGGCATGCACAACACTTTTAATGCTTCTGTGGCTGTTGTAACATAAATCAGCATGGAAAGCAGAATGTAAAGGACAAGAAGTAGAGAAATCTCACGTCTTAAAGCTGCTGACTAATGCACTGTCTTTTTCAGAGAGCGGATATGGGTTTGAAAGGACCTTCAGCCTGATGTTGTATGTTTGCTCTGTGTGTTCCATGGAATTTTGAAATGGTCTCATCAAACTCAAGCTATTACTTCTTTGCCTAGAAAATGCAAGGAGGACAATTGAAGTGTCTGTTCCTGTGGCAGCTTCTGTGGACAGCTCCAAAGAAGACAGTGTTTCCCCTGGCAGTGTGACCACTATGAGAAGGTAGATGTTGACCTTTTACTGCTTTATCTCTGTATTCACTTGATTACGTACACGGAGAACTCTTATGAAATATAATCATATATATTTTTTGGCTTCGTGGACTTTCTAGTCCACTTTCATGGACTTATCAAACTCTACTCTTTAGAAATGGCACAAACATCCGATATCATCTTCAACTTCCATTGTCTGTATTTAAAATACCTGTAGAGTCATGTAAGACTTATCCATGGGTTGTTGGCTATTGATGAGGGATCCTAAATCAGCATCCTAGACGTGACTCTGATAGTCACTTCCATGTTTTTAATATTTCAATCTCATTTTTAACATCTGCAGGTCTGTAGGAGGCTCTAGCAAACCTTCTTCACCCCTAAGTACCGCATCAGAAAGTGTGACGTTAAATCCTGTCAGTCAGAGGCCAAAGGTAAGACAGAAGAATCTTCAGCTAGAAGGCTTGATTGCTGTGCTACATAGATAGAATGTAAGACAGATACAGAGGAGGGAGGAACTCAGTCCTACTTTGGATGCACTGATGCTAATGGTAATAGATTCATAGCAGTCTGGATTCTGGATAACTGATAAAGGGAGGCCTGAGTGCTAGTGACATGAGTTGTTTGCTACCACGGAGCTGTTACTTACAAGTGAGTATTCCTGTAACTGTTTTTTCTGCTGTGGCATCTATTTGTGTTAGAACTGGGAACCTCTGTCAGACTTTGTCAGACTTATGGCTCCAGAGAATTTCAAGTAATCTTTATAATGTACTGATGGAGCTACATTTAAGAGTCAAGCAAACTCTTACCTAGCAAGTCTGAAAGTTAAATAAATCCAACCTGAAAGAAGATAATGAGTATGGATTTCTAATTCCTGATTTCCAAGAAGAGTAGACTACAGGGAGATGCTTTCACATGGAAATCCAGATAGTAGTATAGTCTGGTAAAACATTCACAGCTCTGTTAGTAGCAACCATGAGGGGATATTAATACTGGCTTTCCTGATGTCCAGAGTAACTTAAATTAAGAGTCCTAAACTTTATATCCTAATAGAGAAGTAAACATGAAGGTGCTTCAGAATACTGAAGATAGTAAGTGTGACTTAAGCAAGGTTTCTAAAGGTGGTGGTGTGACCATCCCTGTGGTGTCTGTGGCAGAAAATTGCTTCCTATCAGGGAAACAGTGCTAACTAGCAAATCTGTGGGAAGTTTATGATGTATAAATTTCAACTTGTTTCCTCTTTTGCAGGCAGAAAAGCAAAAAGAAGAAGGCTGGTTTGCACTGTCAATGCACATTATGTAAAGGAAGCTGCGCTCAAGTACTATTATTTATTTATTTTAGAAACTTTCTTACAAATCACATTTATATCTCTGTAGTCTCCGTCTCCGGATGTACGCTTTAACTCTGAAGTGCTTTCCTGTGAATTTAAAAAGGTCAGTGGTGCTTACTGTATTTGTGCCATACAGAATACCGTAGGAAGTCCTGGGGATGAGTTTCCAGAACAGACACGCTGCTGTAACACAACTCCTTTTCGCTCAGTAAGTCTTCCATAAGTTTGTAAACCGGGGCTGGTGTAGCAATGAGCTGTTATTGTATCTGTGGGTTGCATTACACGTACAGGTTGTATTACCTATGCTGAAGAAAGATGATTCAAGAAAACGTTTGAGAAACTTGAAATTTCTGGAGTGTGTATCTCTACAAGATGAGGAATTGAAAAAAAAAAAGGAAAAAGGGAAACTGAGCTGAGGGACTGCACATACATGTTCAAAAGCAACGTGGGGATCAGGAAGCCAGTCTGTTCCTGCTGGATAAGAATTTGCTTCAGAAATTACTTGCTCCTTCTATGCTTTATAGTTGCCCCCCAAAAAGGTGTTTTCTGTGCAGTTAACATACCAAGGACTGCTTCTGAACTTGAGGATTGCTTTTTTAAAAAAATTAAGTATTTTTTTATAACAAGCATAACTTGACTTGTGGAAGTTGAATTAAGAGTTTCTATTTGTAACATACTGAAGTATCATCTCTGATGCAACAGAAAACTGATGAGAGTGCAATTGTATTAAGGTATTCTGGTGTGTGTGTGCATACGTATATGTTGTTTATATGTTGTTTTTATTTGACTTTTTAAAATAGCCATCATTTTAGTATTAATGTTAACCAATAAAATCTAGGATTATCACAAAATGCTTGTATGCTTAATCCTTACATTGTAGTAAACTCAGGCAAAAACCTTGATAATCTAGATAAAAAATGAAAAAGTCAGCAAGTCTGGATTTGATGAGTAAAGTTGTTTCAATCTTTTTAAAAGTATTACTTTTTTTTTTTTTTTTAATTGGTGTAATGCCTCTAAGGATATTGGTGGATTGTGGCTTACAGAGGGCACAGTCCATATTCTTTCAATCAGTTCAGTTTTGGAAGGAAGGAAACAATTTCCAGGACACCCAGCCCCATATTGGACCTTTAGCTTTCACAGCTTGAGCAATATGCTGGGGCTGAGGGGAGGCCTCTGATGGGGGAGCAAGGGTTGCAACCAGCACTGCTGACTGTTGCCATGATACCTGCAGTATAGGGTTGTGATTCTGCTTGGTATTCTGTTCTAGCCACATGAGGTCCTGAACTCCATCACCTCATAGTCGCTGCAACCGAGGCTGCCCTGGATGTTCACTGCTTCAACCAGACCCTCCTTATTAGTGGGAACAAGATCCAGCAGCACTCCTCCCCTAGTTGGTTCATCCACCTTTTGCATCAGGAAGTTATCATCAACGCAGTAGAGGAACCTCCTGGTCTGTGGATGGCTGGCTGAGCATGCCTTCCAGCACATAGCGGGGTAGTTAAAAACCCCCCGTAATCACCAGGGCCTGTAATTGTGAGACTGCTGTCAGCTGCCTGTAGAAGGCCTTGTCAACTTCCTTGTCCTGATCTGGTGGCCTGTAATAGACACCCACAAGAATATCACCTATGCCAGCCTGCCCCTTAATTCTCACCCACAAACTCAACTCATTCCTCATCTGTCGCTGGACAGAACTCACCCAAAAATGGAAGAAGAGAAAAATAACTTGAGCCTCAGAATCTTTCACCGACCAGCCCAAGGCCTTCAAGTCTTATTATATTCCCCTCAGACCAGGGGATGCATCTTCCTACCCACTCCTATGGAAGATCAGTAGCAGGTAGCAGTCTGTCGAATGCTGGGGAGCACCTTGGTGATATCCCTGATCTGGGCACCAGGTAGGCTGCAGACTTCCCTATGGTGAGAGTCAACTCTTCATATTGGGCCCTCTGTTCCTCTCAGCAAGGAATTGCCTACTACAATTACCCTTCTTGCTTTCTTCTTGGAGGCAGTCTTGAAACATCGTTGCCTCTTCCCATCTGACCTGATAGGTGGGCCTTCCACCACATCCTCACCTACCTCTCCTCATTATCCAGGGCCTCAAACCTATTATGGAGGGACACCTGGGGAAGGGAGGGAGGTAGGTAGGGAGGGGGGTTGCCCACAATGCTCCATGATCTTCCCAGACACAGAGGTAAGACTCACCAGCCTGTAGTTTCCCTGGGTCCTCCTTTCTGCCTTTCTTAAAAATGGGAGTAATGTTTCCCTTTTTCCAGTCACCAGGGACTTCACAGGACAGCCATGATTTTTCAGATATGATGGAGGGCAGCTCAGCAAAACAGCATCAGTTGTCTCTCTCAGAATCCTAGCATGGACATCACCTGGCCCCATGGACTTATATACTGTACATATTAGATGGAAGTCCATGTGACAGCATAAAGCTGAAGACTTGTTGCTAAGGGATTGTTGGTGTTACTGTTTGTTGGTTTTCTTTTGCTTGTTCTGGACTGCACAACACACAGCAGTTGTAACTGCTAGTAACACATCTGATTTTTCAAATGTAGTGAAGGAAAAAGACTGGGGCTCCGTTTAATTTGTTTTTCAGTTGTGTTAAATAATAGGCTGGTATCATCCAGTCCCAGTGTGTTGTTATTGCCAATGACTACGATTTTGCATGAGAAACATCTCACTGCCTCACTTCCTCTTTTCCAGGCCTTTCGTGTTCTTCCTTTTTGTCTTAAATGTCGTCAGAAGGGCATCTGGCAACATTTAGCACAAATGTAAAAGGCCGGTACAGAGAAGCGCTGTACCTTTTGCTTTTCTCTTGTCCTCCTCTTTTAGTAAATGTGCAAAATAGGGAGAGGTTTCCCTCTGAAAATGTTTCAAGGGAAAAGCATGGGAAAGTTTCCTATGAATGTTTTGATTACAAAATTCTAAACGAAAAGCTTAATTCCATAAAGTGGTACAATTTCAGTTTTGGAAATGGGAAGCCTAAGAGATTTTCTTGAGTTTTCAACTATTTCCTCTTTCATACTCACCAGTCTTTTTGTAGGCACATGAAAGCAATGTTTTGCCTTGTTTAGCTTTTGTCTTGGAATATTAAATAGCTGATAAATAGCTGAGGGCAAGGAGCAGAGAAGTGGCAAGAAATCTCACTTTTTCAACTTTTACCTACTTAATCCTGTTTATATAGGAAAACTGGAAAGGTTTAGGACCGATACTTTGATCTTTGTTTTACATTACACCTTAGGAGGACATACGATGTCTGTAAGCCTTTTTTAAGCAGAAAAATCTCAAGTGAGACTATTTCCCTCTGAAATCTTTAGCTACAATGAAGTGCCAATGCCATTAAGAAGGCAGTCTGGCACTGCTGATGCACATTGTGTAGGTGCACATTAAGATCAGCCTTTACAGTAGTGATGTAGCCCTGTAGGTCCAGGGTGACAAACTGTTGCTGAGATGCCTTGTCCTTTTTAGCTGCAGAAGTAAGGAGGTCTCACAAGCTGAAGAACTTTTGTGATGACAGAGAAGGGAAGGCTGCGGTGACAAAATGAAGTCTAAAGATGCTTTTAGAGCTGCTGTGTTTCCAAAAGGGAGATAAAAATGCTAAGCTCTGTAGGCCCAGGACATTGGAATAGTGTTTTATTGCTGAAAGATGCTTATTCAGCTTAATTTGTTAATAGGAAAAGTTGCTTTATTCATCTTCAAAAAAGAAGCTGTATGGAAAAAAAAAAAAAAAAGGGATTGGAATTTTTGTTATATAATGGGTTTAAATATGTGATGCAAATTAGACCTTAGGGGATCTGAGTGCCTTGCTTTTCCAAAGTTTGGAATGTTTTATCTGTGACTAGTTTCTCTAAGAATGCGAGACGAAAGAAGTTCTAAGTAAGAAGAGAACTCTCTCGCACGCACTTGTGGAGATGCCCCTTTTGTGAACTGTAGTGTTAGGACGTTCTGATCAGCTGTGATGCAGAGTAGCTATAGGATAAGATCCGATGATTAAATTTTAATACCTACAAGTTACCATACTGAGGGCTATCAAAGTTATTCTTCAGAGGTTTCTCTACACATTTCTGCAGGCACTTCTTATTTCGTGCCTTTGAATGAAAATGCTGACATAACTGTCAGAGCTATCTTAGGAATTCAATGCAGCAGCACCACTCCTATCTTCCTAAGCCTGCTCCATGCACAACCAATATTGAACCCTGTAGGCTACTGGCAAAACTCTGTTCAGGCTTGCACTTTGAGCCTGCCGCAGAGGTGAAGCTATGCCTCCAGTGATGCAGACAGAGAGGCAAAATTTAAGAATCTACTGGGTGGAAGAATGCTTGTCTTAATGTAACAGTTATCCTGAATGGGTGCAGTCAGTACTGCATTGGGCAAATTCAAGTCTGGCAGCTCATTCTGTGGGGCTGTTCTGGGTCTGCAGAATCCTAAATTTTTAATGAGAAAGTTAGATACAGATACAGCTAAATGTGGTGCTTGATTAGCATTTGACTTAGTGGTTGTTATCTAAAGAACCTGTGAGCTGTCCAGAGCTTGCTTTTATTTTTGCTTTTTTTTTTTTTTTTTTTTTTAATTTTTTTTCCAGCTGGAGAAATTGAAGCATAGAGCAAGCTGTAGAAAACTCCATGTTTTCCAGTCCTCCCACAGTGCTATCTCATCTTTGGGCTGGTCTTAGAGATAGCTCCCCCAGCACTGTGACAGCTGCGCTCTGAGCAGGTGCAAGACTCAGAATACAATTTATCATCCTAATAACGGGCAGGTAGATGCATTAATATGTATATATTTTTTATATTTCAGTTCTTAGACATTTAAGTAAGTACAGTGCCTTGAGAACGTGCCTTCAAGGTGCAGGAAGCACAAGTCATTTACCTCAAAGCTACCAATTCTCTGAGCCAGAGGAGCAAGAAGGCACAAGGCAGGTGTGGAAAGGCAGCTTGGAGAAAAGGGTATGACTGCAGGAGTAATTTGCAACACCTTCACTAGCTGCAGAGAAGTGGACTTCCAGACCTCCAGCACAGAACGGGGAAGAGCTGAAGGGAGAACCTGCCAGGTTTGGGCCTCCTCCCCCTCCCTGAGGCTGTGCAGCACAGTTAATTCACAATTAATAGCAATTTGTCACAAGTTTCAGCTCAGCCCTGCCCTCTTGAAAACTGCTGGGTGCAAGATAGCAACAAAGAGGAAAAGGGAGAGTGCCTTTTTTCATGACAGCAAGCTTGCCAGCTCAGGTTATCAAGTATTGTCTCAGAAGAAGCTTAGACAGAAAAAAAACCCCTGCATTTCCTAGTTTTGTTACAAAGGCTATTTTTCCTCCTCTGCAGTCTCCTGGACAACATGTTGGGTGACTGTCCAAGGTAAGAATGATGAGTGAGGTGCTTAAGAAGAGCTATCGCAAAGTAGAGATCCCAAAATTCTTCTTGGGATATCTGAGTGAAAGCCTTTATACTCACTTTCTTGCTCTTGTGTGTCTGTGTTTGTATATATATACATACACACATATTTTTTTTTTTTTTTTTTTTTTTAATGCAGCAGAAGGTCTAAATAGCAACACAAGGAGGAAAATAGAGTTTGGGACACATCTGCCCAATACAGGTGTGCTTTCTGGCCAAAGTCTAAACAGGAGTGGATGCAATGTCTCAGCCACAGGGAAGAGAGGAGTAAAGGGGGCAAGTAAAGGGGGCAAGCAAGTAGAGGAGCTGTCACCCTGTAATAGCTATACCCCATTCAATAGTCTCCACTGTATGTAACATGTCTGTGGCCCCCATGGGCAGTGAAGGGAAAGGAGAACAGTTGTGTTGTCTTCTTGGTGTGAGCACTCTTATCAATCTTCTTTAGCTTATAGGAACTTACCATC